CCAGCGTCACAGATATGGCCACCCAGTCTGCCCACGGCCTCGCTTTTCACCGTGGCCTCGGTACCCCAACTGCCTCCGCTTCGCCCACCCCGTACACCAAGTACCTCGACGCCGAGACCATTGAGTACTACTCCAAGATTGCCTACGCCAAGCCCAACTTCGCCGTTGTCGCTAACGGTGCCGACCACGGCCAGTTCTCCAAGTGGGTTGGCGAGTTCTTCGACAACGTTCCCAGCTCCGCTGCCCAGGAGTCAAGCATTGGTGCCGAACAGAGCAAGTACTACGGTGGTGAGGAGCGTATTGCCCACGATGGCGGCAACGCCATGGTCATTGCTTTCCCTGGTTCCAGCTCCATCACCGGCAAGTTCTACAAGCCCGAAATCGCTGTTCTCAGCTCTCTGCTCGGTGGTCAATCAGCCATCAAGTGGTCGGCAGGTTTCACCAAGCTCGGACAGGCCGCCGCACCAGGTGCCAAGGTCACGACCACCAGCGCCATCTACTCCGACGCCGGTCTCCTCTACACCACCATCACCGGTTCCGCCAAGGCTGTCGCACAAACCGCCCAGGCTTCCGTTGATGCCATCAAGAAGATCGCCGCTGGTGAGATCTCAAGCGAGGAGGTCTCCAAGGCAAAGGCCGCCGCCAAGTTCAAGGAGCTCGAGAACGGCCAGGATATCCGCGCTGGTCTTGAGCTTACTGGCAACGGTCTGATCCACAACACTCAACCATACCAAATTGACGAGGTTGCCAAGAAGATTGATGGTGTCTCAGAAGAGACTCTCAAGAAGGTAAGTCCATTCTCGTTTCTGGGATCTATGCAATATGCTAACAAATGGATACAGGCCGCCAAGGAACTACTTGAGTCCACCGCTTCAGTATCAGCTGTTGGTGATCTTTTCCAACTACCATATGCTGAAGACCTTGGCCTCAAAGCGTAAATACAACAATCTTGTAGTGAAGTTTAGAGGGAGAATCTCGTTTGGCCGGGGCTTGTGTAACATTATCTTGTGATAGTCCCGATAGATGCATCTCATATGAGAGTTCTTTTGTTCAGTTGGGTTGTTTGAAACCAATTGCCGCGTTAGTATGTGAGATAGTTATCATTTTGAGATCAATTGGTGAATGCACTACGTACGTATATGGGCTATGACGCAGGTCGTGGATCACATCAGACCAAACTGTAGCTCTCACGTGCCCGCGCGTCAGCCTTGGCATGTCATTGACCAGTGTCTAACGCCAACACCCAAACACGTCCCCCGGCCATACACGCCCACCAAAGAGTCAAGACATCACAACCCACAGAGTCACTTTACATAATACCACATTGACATCTACCACTACTTATTAGAAAAAAAGTCAAAGACGCGCAACACAAAGAAAAAAGTGGAAATCACATCTCCCTACACCATGGCACCTACCCTCTACCCCCGCGGCACAGTCAAGAAAATAGTAAAAGCGCATTCGAACAGGCCGCTCAGCAAGAATGTTGATATTCTCGTACGTTCTAATTCACCCTTCCCCCTTTTCCGTATACACCGAAGGTGAACATTGAACAAGGGGGGAAAAGGACAGAGGAGATGTAGCTAACCTGTGGGGTTAGATCTATTTGAACTATGTGCTGTTTATGCAAGAGTGAGTCATTTCTTTCCCATTTCCTTTTTTTCCCTAGGGATTTGTATGGATATCTTGATAGTGGTGGTGGATTGGAAGAAGGGACGCTGACTGAGTACTGTGTAGATTGATTAATGAGGCGAGTATCAAGAGTAAGCAGCGTGGGGAGAGGGGCGTCTCGGCGAGGAGTGTAAAGAGGGTTAGTGAGGATGTGTTGAGGAAGTATAAGGGGTAAAGGGGTATGAGATAGTGATGCGTGAGGGGGAAAGGAAAGGCAAATGGGTTAAAGGTGTTTTTAGGCGCATGATTTGATATGATACCCGGGTTCGTAGTTTCACACGTATGATGAACAGGGAAATCGATTATATATCCTATCTACAACAGATGCGAACACTGGATCTTTTACGCATCCGCATACTCGAACCAAACATATACCTCACTCCTTGACAACCTTTGGTACAACCCACCCATCCGCATATCTCTTCCCTGCCCCCGCCTCTGAAATCTCAACCTTGATACCCGATACGTTCACCCCCTTCTCCGCAACCCACTCCTTAATCTCCGTAACCACCAAACCCAACGCCACACAACTCGCCACTGCATTCTGCACCTCTCCATCCCAACTACTCTCCACACCCTCCGCTTTCGCCGCCTGCACGCCAATCCGCTTGTACTCTGCAAACGCCGCTTTCGCCGTCCTAAGTTGTCCATCAATCTCGCTCCACAGCGCCGAGTTCAAGTGCGCTACGTGTTCAGCGAACTCAGGAGAAGGCGAAGCCACATCGCCATATAGCTGAGTGTGCGCTTTGAAGTCATCAAAGTCCGGGACCTCGGGGGGCTGAAGCCCTAGAAACGGTTTCATGCGGACTTCGTAGCGCAGTTTCTCGGTAGAAAAGGGACGGCTGGGGATAGGTAGGAGATGCAAATACAATAGTACAATGTAGAAGCGTGCTAAAGCTAGACTGAAGGAAGCGGTTGCTTCCGCTTCGGCGATTAGACTGGCGACATACGGCTCCGCGTCGTCTACTTGCTGCTTCTCTTGCATTTTTCCTTGGCGGAGGAGGTTGAATTTGTGGGTGGTATAGTGCGTTTGGACTCTACGCAGCAGCTCTTTTCTGCGCGTGGTAATGAGAGAGAGGAAGAGGTACATTCCTGCGTATTCGTCTGGGAGGTAGATTTCCTGCTCGAAGCCAAGTAGGATCATTTTTTCGATGATCCAGAGCTTCTTGTGGTATGCCCATGTCGAGAGAGAGAATTCCATGACAGCGTCGGATACACCCATTTCGTTGGCTGCAGCGGAGATTTCACTGTCGGTTACACTTGCCTCGGATTGCAGCATATCCCAGTGGCCAATAACGTGCCTCAACATGCGCCGGACTCGACACCGGTTCTGGACCAAGGCAACCCAGAGGTCGAGGTAGGCTTGGTCTGCGCGCTCTACAAAATCGTCCATGATAAGGGCCAGCTGGAGGCGTGGTGGCTTGGGGAGAAGTGGGTTGCGTGGTGGTGAGAGAGTCCAGTTGCCGGGGTCTAGAATGGGAGAGGCGGGCAAAACGAGAGTTTTTACGTCCCCAAGCGACAACGACATTGCTGGATTGTACATTTCTGGATGGTGCACAATATTTGATAGATATGATCTGGAATATGTGAGGGTTGGTGGCGAACGGGACGAGAAGTGCCAGAGGAATGATTGGTATTCGAGCGGATCAAGCTTGATGGAGATCAACCGAGTGGCTTCGTGGCAAGCGGACGCCATATTCTCTAGCTTTCCTAACGCATCTTTGAAATCTAGTTCAACAATAGGCCGTGGAGGAACGGTAGAGGCAAGCCGCCGTTGCATTTTCGGACTGAAAGCACCAGGTACTGTCTGGCCAAGTTGATGAGTAGTCCTTAGCGTGTCAATAATCTCGAGTACCGGCGGCCAAGAGTAGGGCATTCCCTCAACCGCAAGATCCACGTCAAAAGCCTGAAGCAAATCTGTCCGTAATTCTAGTCTCGATAGAACGGCTTTTCGAAGAGCGTCGTTGATATCAAGATCGGGACTGCCGATTGTAAGCTTGCCGCAAATAGTCTGTAAAGACGAAAGTACTTACTCCTCTATTATGTCAACGGCAGCATCCAACTCTCTCAAAAAAGCATCCATTGGCGTGCTCACGAACAATACTCGGTTATACGTGTGTGTACAAAAATCCTCCTCTTCATAGTAGTCTCTACCAGTGACCTTCGCTATCACAAGGTCACATCCCTTGATCAAACCTAAGCAATACGCCCTTAGTACGTCTAGTAATGGTCCAGGTTTTCTTTCGTTGGGAATTTCGCCACGGTAGAATTGCGCTTGCTCCAGTGCCTTGACTTCTGGCCATAGTAGCTTGTCAATGTAGACGGATGTAAAGAGTGTCTGTGACAAAGGATAGCCTGTGTGCCATGCCATTTCGTAGCACAACAGTTGGTCCATGATGCCGATAAGTTCCTCTGGTAGAAGGGGTGTTAGTGTATCATAGTCGTCTTCTAGAGTCTCTCCGGGTTGGAGGAATCCACTATCCATCTTGGGATCCATGATCTGTTGATCCGGATCAGTAAGAAGCCAACTTCAGTTGCAAGAGTCGGCTACCTCGATTGCCCCAATAGACTCAAAGAGCGTAAAGTAGTCATCTTTAACTAGTTGACCGACTTCCAGAGCTATTTCATCTGTCAGCTACCGTCTGATTCCGTATATGTAGTGATACTTGGGTCATCGCGGGCGGCAGGCGGCTTCACGGCACAGCCCCGCCATGCCCCTCCAATGTTCACATCGGTCGACTTACCATTACACGCTCGTGTAAACTTCTCGGTCACATCATGAATCTTCGGCCGTGTCCCGCCCACCGAATGTTTCGACTGTCTCAGGGGCAAGTCAGTGGGAGTAGTCGGCTGAAAGACAGGCGCGGGCTCTTGCGCATGCGACAGATCTGAGCATGACATTAGTGAGGTGCATAGTTGCAGCACGACCAGATCGCTCTCAGTATACCGGCAATGTCGGGATTATTATTTACGTCCAGATTCTGCGCAGGGGCTGTGCTGTGGCTATTAGACGCATCTGCCATGTTGTGAGGTGGAGTCGTTTTCCAGGGCGGGAAGATTGTGACAGCCGAGTTGCAGGTGCAGCACCTAAGACAAGCCCTGATGACCGGCACTGGTGGTCACTAAGGCAATTCCCAAAACAACTGTCTACGAGCACAGAAAAAGTATTGTGAGAGACCGGGAGAGCTATTTAGTTCAGTTTTGTCATGAATTGACCTAAATCCTCCCCGTACGGCTTGATAGTACAGAGTATACGTCCATCCTCCCCCAGCTCCTCTCCGCATTCCATATCACCCTATCGTGCCCTTGTCGTCTCCTCCTGAATTGATTTACGAAGACTTGGCGGCATCGGCCTGTGCCTGGAGTGCGGCAGCGTTGAGGTCCTTTACCTCGCCCTGCTTGCCATTCTGCCCAATTCATTAGTTCCTGCCTAGCCTGCCTCCCCTCAACTTCAGGTATGCACTCACTTCCCACTTCGCAAACTTGAGTTCGCTCTCGCCCCTTCGCTCAGCAGCAATGCGCTTGTCATCCTTGAGCGAGCGACGTACGACGCGCGATGCGACGGCAATGTAGCGGTTGTAGCTGCTCAAGAGTCAATGGCGGTTCCAATGGCAGAAATGCAGCGACTGCAGGGTCGGGAAGGCGTACGTGAGACCGGCGGCTTTCCACGCGAATGCCATTGTGATGGTTGGATGTGGTTTCGTGGCTATGAACGGGTTTTGCGGGTTGCGGATGCAGTTGGCAAAGGTTGAGCTGCAGCGAGATTTCGCGGATGCGGCTCGGAGCTTGGAACATCACGTGAACAATCACCGACAGCTCTCAAGCAGCCATATCACCACCATTCCGCGCACTCATTCAGTTTTCGGCAAAACAACAGTACTCTGAAATGGTCTTGGAGTCATGTTCATTATATTTTCATAGACTGCCTGCTGGTAAAAGCGCAGCCGTGTCGTGATCTACAGTAACCCCTCGTCAAGGAGCACTCCTGGTCCTACGCCTGAGACCTATGATGCTTGTAGTGAACCGTGAGAAACTAAGCCTCCTACAGCTCCATAGCCTCGCCGCCCTCCGCGTCATCGCCGCCTTCTCTGTTCTCGAACGTAGCGTCTAGCCACTCAGCAAGATCCTGGCCCTCGTAAAGCGCAAAGTTCTCGCCAATGCCACCAATACCGACGCTGGTGTTGTCGACTGTTAGCTCCTTGTCCTGTGATAGCGACTCCTTCAGTGATCTCAGAGCGTGCTTGATCAACTCCTCCCTGCTGGCGCCTTCGAACTCATCCAGATGCCTCTCGAGGTATGTCCTTGCCATCTGACTCCTGGCTCCAATACCGCATGCGATCATCTCCTGTGTGACACCACTGGGCTGGAATTCAAACAGGTGAGGTCCCTTTGCGTCTACACCTGCAATCAACAACCCAACACCGTAAGGTCTCCGTCCATACTGCTGCGTGTTGGTTTGTGCACGGTCTGCAATACGCGAAGTGATTTCAGAGAGAGGAATGGCGCGGTCGTACGTGAGGCGGGATGCGAGTGATTGCTGTTTCATAAAGTTGGAGAGAACGCGGGCATCGGAGGCGAGACCAGCAAGGGCGACACCAAAGTGGGAATCCACGGGGATGATCTTCTTCTGGTATGAAGAGAGCTCCTCGGCATTTCGCTGTATGGCGTGTTAGCTATATTTGTCGACATCAAACCAGCAATGGAGGCGTCTACCTTGATTGCTGCAAGTACTGCGTGTGTCTTGCTGACAATGCCTACAACAACTGAACCCTGCTTGACAGCCTCTTGTGCATACTCGACCTGAAAGATACGACCCTGTGGCGAGAAGGTGACCGAGTCGTTGTCGTAGTTGTTTCTGAACATGATGAAGGTGGGATTTGTGGGGTTGTTAGAGCCAAAAACGGGTTGATTGGTTTCACGGTAGCAAGACCTTGGCTAGGACAATGACTGGTGTGCACGCGGCGAGGTGCTGTCACCAGGAGATTGCGTTGCGGCGGAGTAGGGCAATGTGTAGTGGTTGTGATGGTGTTGCTGGAGGTTCCCGCAGCCGTCGTTGACGACGAGCTCCAGAAGCTCCGATGCTTGGCAGGTAGGCAGCACCCTAGCGCGCAACCTCACCAGCAGGCGTCTGGACCACACGCAACAAGACCAACCACACCGCAGCTCTCACATCTTCGCCGGAACGGGGATTGATATCACAGGAATCAGGCGTCTATTCGTTAACGACTACTATATTGTATCTGCGGCATCAAGCACGATTTCAGCATGGCCGGCATCAAGACCATCATCGGACTGTCCTTCGTACGTCAAGCTGGCGCATCCTTGCGCGTTCCCTGATCGCATGTCGTCAAATGCTAATGGAATACACGATAGGTCCTCGCGATAGGCTTTCTTCTCGTCATTCTCTCCGCCGCGCTCTTCCACAACTACCTCACGCTCCTCGTTGTTGCGACCTACGTAATCGCACCCCTACCCAACTGGCTTTGCAGCAGAGCAGCGAACCATGATGACTTTATGGAGAGTTCTGGAAACGGTGTGGTCGACTTTGGAAGGTTCTTGACCGGCTTCTTCGTGGTCATGGGTATCGGTAAGTGCTCTCCTGGAATATGCGTTCGGTATGCGCCTCGGGCGGTTGCGTGCTTGCACTCTCAAGAGAAAGCGCAAAGGACCTGTGGAAACTTGAATCGAACCCAAGACTGACTCACACCAGCGCTCCCAACGCTCCTGTGGCATTCGGCTGAAATCGCAGGAGGTGCCGCAGCCATGTCTATCTTCGGCGGTCTGTTGATTTACGCGACCATCATCAGCTTCACGCTGTTCTTCCAGGAGCAAGAGGACTTCTGACTAGCCGGCGGAACTCAGCAATGAGGGACCGCATACATACTATCCCCAAGCGCATGGCTTGGCGCCTCGAAAAGAAGTCGAGACACTTTGGTAATGAAGGCTACATGCCTGGATGGATGGACTGTTGCTACTGCATATTTCTGTTACCTGTACAGTTTTTATGAGCGTTCTTGTACGAGTATGTTGGACATAATGCATTGGTTGAACCAAAAGAACTACAACGAGAATGTAAATGCAAACTCCTTGATCAACCGGATATGAAACATGACAAAGGCTATTGAATCAATGGAAACTAGCATCTCAAGCATATTCGTACATTGCGATCATTGTCGCTCCGCTCAGCGCCTCAACATAAAGTATCCTGCGTAACACAACCATCCCTCAATCCGGATGACGTCGGACAAGCTATACCCAACAGACTTCAACTTCACGTCGCACTCTTACAACGCCAGGTTGTACGTGTACTCATCCTCCATGTTCTGTGCAACCCAAAGCACCGCGGAACTGTGACATGTTAGCAAGCATGCTCGCGCATTCCTTCGAGACTGTGTACTCACCTCAGCATAACCAGCGCATTGGCAACAACATTGCCAACGCCCATCCACAGGGTTGGCCATGTGTGCTCTGGCACAACAAACTTCATAACCATAACCACCACACTTCCCGCCAATCCGCCGGCCAGCAGCGCGAAGCCCAGGAACAGCACTAGCCTAGCCTTCCACGCGACACCGTTTCCAGAGTAAGAGAAGCTATCAGCAGAGAGTCGCGACTTGTCAATGCTGTTGATGACTAGCATGCCGAGGGCGCTGCAAATGCCCGGGACCCAGTCGACGAAAGTGATATGGACGCGTGGGTCGGAGCCGTTCATGGCCGACTTGGACCATACCGATATGTCGATGAGGGTATAGAAACCGAGAGCGAACTGCAAGGCGATATCAGTATATGCATCAGTACTGTTGGCTATATGGAGTAGTTCGCACCAGAGCTCCTGCAATGTAGACGCCTGCGGTCCTTGTGTTTGCGCTGTTCAGCCATGCGGGCTTCGGGAAGCGGAAAAGGCGATTTGAACCCTCCATGATGACTTGAGACCTCCGTATGCGACTATGAGATAAATGTGGGTGCGGGCGTTGGGAAGAGTCGTTGAGCAGCGAGGCAGGGCGTGATGATGCTGGGGAAGCTGTCGCTGCGGATGCGCCTGCTGGGGTCGCGCGCCTGTTGCCTTGGCACTTGACGTTCCCCATCGGCAGCTCCAAAACGCCGATCTGCCCAAAAAAAGTCCCCAGCGCTGCCGTTTATTCATTCCACTTCACAGAACTTTTCTAAGCACTACTCTTACCGGCCCGTTTCCTGCTTTCGCCAAGATGGGCGCAACCAAACCGGCTTCCAAAGGCAAAGGCGCCAAAGGAAAATCTGGCGGCAGCTCCAGTAAATCCTCAAAATCGAAATCGAAATCGAAACCTACTGGAAGTGCGCCAGAGGGCATATCGAAGCGCAAGCAAAAGTCGTTGTCGTTGGCTAAACCAGGTGGCGAGCAAAAGACCAAATCAATCGTAACAAGAGATGGCAAAAAGAAAAAGAGGGTGTATACAGAGAAAGAACTGGACATCCCAGCGCTCAACGGCATCATCCCCGCTGGCATTGCGAAGCCAAAAGGCGTCAAGAAGGGAAAGAAGTTTGTGGATGATCCGGCTAGCATGGTATGGAACTTCTTGTCCCCCTAATTTCTCTTTCGCAAGTTGTACCTTAGATGCCAATCTTACTAATCATGCTACTGTTGCAGATGGCCATCATGTCCGTTGTCAACGCCGAGAAAGAAGGGCACCTCGAGTCCAAGATTGCCAAAGCGCGCCAGTTGGAGGAGATTCGTGAAGCCAAGAGGAAAGAAGCCGAGGCGAGAAAAGAAGACAAGGAGGCCAAATTTGAGGAGAGGAAACAGGATCTCAAGAAGAAGAAGAGGAAGAGGCACAGCGAGCCGAGTGCAAAGAGTGATGAGGGAGACAAGATCAAGGAAAAGGACAGGAAGTTCAAGCAAAAGAAGAGGGTTAGCTTCGGCTGAAGCAGTGCGAGAACATGAGGCGAACACAGTATATATGGAGTTTTGAGTTTTATGTGGAGCATAAGGGCGAGAGGGAAAGAAAAACTGAGGAGAGCGCTAATTTTCACTACAAGAAGAGCTGTTTTCGAAAGCATCATGCGCAAAGAACGTATGAGCAAAAGTAGCATGAGAAAAAAAGTCGATCAGACAAAGGGCTAAGTCTATACGCGGTCTACGAAATCTAGAGCAAGTCTATGATACCCAAATACCATTCAATGAAAATCACTACCACCACCGCCCTCTACTCGCTCCTACGCCTCAGGTAATATCAGCCTTCGATGGTTTGGATCAAAGATTGGATATTTCTTTCCTTGTAACCCGCCCATATTCACGCCCTCGTTTCCCTCACCCACGCTTTTGGATGCCTCAAAGTCAACCTCTTCATTTATCTTGGTCAAGAACTTGGACGTTGCAACGGCAAACCATCTTCCGCCGCCCAACATGAAACTTCCCAAATGGCCGCCCCAGTCCGTCGTGCAAAGTAGCACATTGGGATTCTGCTTCACCTCCTGATATGGCAAGCCGGCCTTGCTAGAAATTGGGTCGTCTTCGGCGTTGATACCAAGGAACGGGATGCGAACCGCAAGCAGTGCGTCCACGCTTTGCGAATCACGATAGTATGCGCCCTCTGTCGGATATCCCCATGTTGGACACTGAACCTGGCGGTCGAATTCATGCAGGAATCTACTGCGCAATACGGCGTCAACGTCGAGACCAGGATTCTTGGATATCTGCTCGCGATGCTGATTGAAAAGGCCTAGGAGATTTTTACCCATAGTGCGCGAATAGACATGGAGACCAAGATATGTACGCTGCAATTCTGTGTTGCAGACTTCGAGGTTCCAGGGGTTGCTGCAGGCAACGGCTGCACGTAGGAGGCACTTGTCGCCTTCTTCGCCGCAGTAGTTGGTTAGGATATTGGCGCCTAGACTGAATCCAACGCCGTATAGGGGTCGGTTGGGGAACAGGTTACGCAGCTCGATGATGGTTTGCCGGACATCCCATGTTGCGCGGGCGTTGAAGAGCTGGGGCGTGGTGATTTTAGAGAGAGCACAGCCTCGTCCATTTACTACGCAGGCAGCCCAACCGGATGCGATGAGCGGTGCGAGGGTTTCGCGGAGGTAGACTTCGTGAGATCCGCCACTGAGACCGTGAAGGGCTACCAGCATGGGTTTTGAATCTGAGCTTGCAATGCCTTCCCATTCTTCCTTGGTAAAGTTGGTGGTGCGAGCTGGAAGCGGTTCATCCTTTTCTTCTGGCGTTCTTTCCGGTGGATTTGGGCTGCCCTCAGATAGATCTACTGCGAAGTCGACGGCAAAGGTACCCGGGTAGACAGAATGGTTTGAGTTGAAGATTTGCCTCTTATAGTAAACTGGTGGGCCTGGGTCTTTGACAGCCGTGTACATGGTTTGTAGGTGGCCGTTGAAGAGGAAAGGGTTCAGGCGACATGGCGGAATTGAGGAGGCAGCGACTTCTTCTAATGTGGTCTTCGATCCAGTCTTTGTTGTTAGAGTTGCAGGAGATTGGTGGGATGTGTAGGTGGTTTTGCTGTGGCCTAGCAGCCACGATAAGTTGAACATGGTGGCTTTTGCTGGGAATGCAGTGTGCTGGAAACGAGATAACAAAAAAGCTTCTTTCTCTTCTTGTAATTCAATTCTCCTTTCACATGTGTCGTCCGGAATGCCTCGGGATGTGAACAAATATGGGGCTGGAGAATCCTTTCCTATATGCTAACTCTTTGTCAAGGCACGCCGATTGTCTGGATGTGTAGGTATCTCGCCTATGATGCGTATAAAACTGTGGAACCTTTAACTTTTACGGCTAGACGAGGAGCAAGAGAACAATCAAATCCATTTCAGACCCAGGACGAAATAAATCTATAGCGCTGGACACGTTTGAAAAGAGCCTCGGCTTGTGAGCCCACTAGACCGTATCAAGTGATGCTACAAGCGCGCGTCTATCTGCCAATCGCGCTCCAGTAGCCTGGCGCGTTCGCGACTTCCCGTCCTTCGCGATTGCCCATGTCACTCATGTCTTGACATCCTCACCCCCGCTTTCGCCCACCATGCAACGCTTTCGCATTGAATAATCGTGATCCTTTTTCGCTACAGTCTTCTAATGGACCCCCGGTACAACTGGCCGCCGCAAGGCTATCCGAACGGCCAGTATAACCCGTATGCGCCGCCGCCTCCACAACAGCAGCAACCGCCGCCCAACGGCTACCAGCAACAACATGGCTACCCACAATATCCTCCAATGCATATGCAGATGCCCATGCAACAGGGCTATTCACAGTCACAGCCAGCGCCATATCAGGTTCCGCCACAGCCCGTCATGCCCCGGCCCTCGAATCAGCAGTACCAGCAATACCAGCAGATGCCGCCGCAAATGCAACAACCACAACATATGCAGCAGCATTCAAGGCAGAACTCACAGCAGTATATTCAGCAGAGCCCTCAGCAACGCCCGCAACAACCGCAGCAGCATATGCAGCAGCCTATGCAACGACTTCCCCAGCAATCTCCCCAACAGCCTCCACGACAACCTACTCAACAACCTAACCAGCAGCCTGTACAGCGACCTCCTCAGCAACCTGTCCAGCAACCTGTCCAACAACCCGCCCAGCGACCTCCCCAGCAGCCACAATATCGATCACAGCCACAGGTAGTAATTCCAGCGAGGACAGCCAACTATGGGTCTCCTATGCAAATGCAACCCCCGCGAATACGGCATGTGCAGGTGCCAGTGCAACGTACAAGCAGTGTGGGAATTCCTCATACAGATGGCTCGGTTGATCAGCAACATCGATATAGCGCACAACAGCCGCAGGTCATGCCTGTCGCGAAGCCAGTCCAGCAGTCATCGTCGCAACAAGAGAATGGACCTAGACCCCAGCCCCGACCCGCGAACACGCCGACACAGAACCAGAACCTGCAGCGAGCGCCCCTTCAACCACAGACTACTCCTCAACAGCAGCGTGTACTACCCCCTACCCAGACGCCGACCAGCCAATATGCAAGTCCAGGTACACAACCGCCTTCGTCCAAACCGAAAATGCACCCTCAGGTCGTCATACCTCGAGCCTCTTCGTCCCACCAGCTTACACCAACGAAGCGTGCACATGTTCCTCAAAAGGCCCTTCCTGCTGAACTCTCCGATCTGCTTCTTACGGCAGCTGACGAATACATTGCTGCCGCACGGGGTATGGGATCACTTTTGGGGAGTCAAAGAAAGGAAGCTGATGTCAGACAATACTACAAACTTATATCTACTGCTATGGGGTGTATGGATACTGTGTTGAGGGATTTTAATATGCCACCTAGGGATGAAGCAAAGTTACGCCTAAGATATGCAAGTCTTATGATAGAAGAGACGGACATTGAGGCTACGGATATTTCAAGTCGCATTGAAGAGATTCTTTCCAAGCAAATATCACTGTGTGGCAGACATAGATTACAGGATTTGAAGTTTGCTGCCCTCCATCTCCAAGCGCGGTACCAGTTCAAGACGAACCATCGAGCCGGGTTGAAGTCCTTAGACAAACCAATATCTGAAGCAGAGACTTTTCAACATATTGCTTGGGTATACGCATTGCGCTTCCTCAAGGTGACACTGGCATTGCAAATACCAGGTCGTGTGGAAATAGTCATGGTCCTACAGCAATTGCACGCGATACAGGGCCATGCGGAGCGACGTGGAGATCGTGCCATATATGTGGCGTGTTGTGCGCTTGAAGCGATGGTCCATCTGCGGTCTGGCGCCGCAGATCGGCTTGAGCAAGTTCAACGCGCTATTGCAGCAGCGCGGAGTTTACAACTCCAGGTGTCAGCTAAAGATCTGGGCTCTTTCGGCACTCTGATTGATGTCATTGATATTGCTAGTGGCATCCAGACTGGCCGACCAGACACACAGAAAGCAACGTCCCTTCTCGAAGCTATATTGGGCAAGAAAGATGAAAAGGGGGGTTCCGAAACCGGAGTCTTTACTGTTCTCATTGAGCGAAGCTATGGTGGTAACCTGACGTTCGACACAGGTGGCGTGTTCAGGAAGAACGCTGAGAGAAAAGATGAACTCGTTTTTGCTTGGCTTCCACAGGAGGATCTCAAAGCACTATGCTTTCACATCTGTGCTCTGGAGCATCATGTGCATGAGAAGGGCTTGATATACATGAAGGAAGCTCGCCAACGGTTTAGGGAATCCGCGAAGCGTCGAAACCTCATGGGCATACCGCCTTCTCTTACATTCGCTCGGATTGAGTGGAACATGATGTTGGAATGGTATTCGATGTTCTCCATCGGACTCATGGCTTGCTCTCGGGACGACCACGCAACGGCTGAAGATGTTCTTAGTGGACTGAAGAAGCGAATCGCTCTGCCTCCATACAACAGTCAGGGAGCCTTTACCCGCACCCTTGCATACCTTTCATCTGTCAACGATCAGGTCAATGGCAATCTTGAATCTGCAATAACAACTTCTTCTGGAGAAGTTCTTGCAATACCGGAGAAAGGTCACGCGGTTCCAGCTCGAGCTGATATAGCAGTCATGGCAGCCTTGAACCGCTTACTCATTCTTCGCGATCCTAACCACCCACAACATTTCCAGTCCAGCATGCTGTTAGAGCAACTCAAACCCTTTTGCGAAGATCATCCAAATCAGTACATACGCATGGCTTTCCGTCTCGTCCATGCCTTCCACGGCGAAGCTGCCGCCATCTCTCACCAGAAGAAGACTGTTCAGCAAGCCGTCGGCATAGCTCAAGAGATTTCTCAAAAGACGCAAAACTTCGAGTTTGTAGCCATGACAATGTGCTACTTTGTCGCACGCTTCTTCGCTGATACAGTGGGCGAGAAGAGTATCCAAGCTATCCGTGCAGCGAGATCACAGGCAATCAAAGGTCGGAAGCCCCTGTGGATGGCTGTTGCAGCTGGTCTTTGTATCAATACATACCGGCGCAATGGGCTTATGGATGAAGCGGCCAAGGCTACGAGGGAGTTTGAAGCCGTGAGACCGCAGTTACCACTTATACTCAAAGGTGAAGGCGATTTAGATGCTGATGGCGAAGACGATATTGATGCGGATGGTGACATCGATATTGTGGGTTAGAAGGGGTGATTCTATTTTCCTGTTCACAGTTTCTTCTATCTTCTTCCAACTCAGTGTATGGAAGCTTTTCTGTTCTTGCATTCCTCTGGCGTTATATGGGGGGACTTGTGTTATGTAATCTGGTTCACGATACCATGTGTGTGGGGTTTCAAATCGGGCGCTTTGTCTACAAGTAATGTTTTCCTCAAGCGAAGCAATGGTGTCTGTGTATTAAATACAGTTTTCCTTTTTTGGTTACAGTACTCTTGCACTCTTGACACCTGCCTTCGATGATGCTTTCATCGGCGATGATATCAATATCTGGAATTTCTAACAGTCACTTGTGCCAAGTGGCTCATCGATTATTATACTTATTCAAGGAAATCCTACTGCCGAATATACAGTGTTAGATGAACCGTTTAAGGCTGCACTTCTGGCTATTCTTAGTAGTAATACAATGTGGTTTATCGGCTGAACGTGTTCACGCACTGGCCATATTCGTTATTGGATGAACCATTATCATTGATTAATTACAGTATGTTTCCTAATCTCATGTCTATGCCACACCGCAATGCCATCGAACAAATACCGTCTTTACGAAGTCGTTTAGGTCGTACAGAAATTCGGGGGCACGCCACTGTCTCCTATCTACCAAGCAATGCTGTCGTAGTTTTAGTTATCACGGTGTATTTCTATCTGTGAAGTACTCAAGAGCTTTACTGTTAATGTGTCTTGTTAAGATTAAAACTATCTACTTACATATGTTTCTTTGTATTTCTCATGCATCTAGTTTCGACCACCCTTATATATTTTAGAGGCACATAGTAATCCGTGGATTGTCTGTGACATATTGTATACAAGTAATTTATCGTCAATGAAGTCAATGGAATTAAGCAGCTGAAAGGCAAAAACAACAAGGAGTTATCTAAGTCTCTTCTAGAAGATCCTTTCTTATCTTACCAAACACAATCTCACTGAAATCTTCCATTGGAATTTGTTGCAGTAATGTGTTCATAGTCCTCACTTAATTATCGTGCAGAATCTTTAACTGTATACAAAATCATTACTAGAGACCACTATTGCACGGGATACAACAATTACACCAAAAAGCTAAGGTTTGATCTGTATGACGATATTATTGTTATGGAATTAACTAGATATATACAGCTGTTGGCACCTCGTCACTGTCGGAACACGTTAAACCGACTCCTTCTGTCCCCTTTCAGCCATGAAATTGAAAGTCACTACATCTAGATGTCACAATCCCTCTCAGAGAGCGAAATGTAATCCAGTGGGACCACTGGCGAGTTCCTATTGTAGACGGTATTGTAGAGGAAGCAGTCTCTTTGACTGGCGAGGATGACAAACGTGCATTGGGACTGGGATCGACAGATCGCAAGGCAGGAAGCATCACTGTCTGCGGTTTGGACACTGTAGGCTGAGGATCCGTCCTGACCGCTGGCGTAGCCCTTTTGATGGCACACGAGAGACTGAGGAGTGGGTTCAGGAGTAGGAGTAGGAGTAGGAGTAGGAGTAGGAGTAGGAGTGGGAGTAGGTGTGACAACCGGCTCGAAGCAAGACCTTTCATATAGTAGAACTCGGTTGGTGACGGTAAATTGAGTGACCTCAGACAACGGAATGGTGAAGATATAGCAGGTCGTCTGCGAGTATAAGAAGAAGAACCTGCAACTGGGATTCGCGAGACAGGACTCAGAACACGCGGAAATGCTGGATCCAGGAGTCGTACTCTGCAGACCCCTGGGTGACGTTGGGTATTTCTGAGCTCCACAGTTTCCAGAAGGAGGCTCAGGAGTAGGCTCGGGAGTAGGCTCAGGAGTAGGCTCGGGGGTCGGTTCTGGAGTTGG